TTAAATTGTTTGAACATTTTTTTTAACAAAAAAGTAAAATATATTATATTTTTTTTAGAAATTTATATTATAGAAATTATAGAAAGTTATTATAGAAACTATAATAGAAATCTCTTAGATAATTGATTAATTTATATATTAAAAGAAATTTAACTGTGCAACAAAAAATTTAATCTTTCTTTATCTAGACATTTCTTAGTAGATAACACAGGCACAAAAAAATTTGTGTAGCACAGCGTCAAAAAAGAATATCATAATTTAATCTCCGCATCAAATATTAAATTTTATCTTGTGTGTCTGTGCAATTAATTAGTTTACGAATTATTCCATTAAAATTTCCATAATTTTCTTTCGCAGAATTGATTTTTTTTTGGTTCCTCAGCATCTTATAATTCCTTAAGAACCAAATTTGCTAAAGCATGATCTTTTCCTTTATTTTGTTTCTCTTTAACTCGATTTAAGTTGAATTATTGATGAAGAAACAGTTTCAAAAGAATCTATAAAGCAATCAACATTCGCTAGGTATGTTACGTTTAAGAGTACTTGATATTGATTTTGGTGATGATGTAAATTTTGAAGAATGTATTAATTTATGGAGAAATTGATGGAGTTGATCTTTTCGTGTAGAGATTGACGCGGCAAATTACAGAGCTTATATGTAATCAAATTGAAAGAAAAACATTCTTTTTATATAAATAAAATATCAAGAAACAATGTGGAATTATAAGTTTTTCAATTTATAATACTGAAAAAAATCAACATTTTTTCTTAGATTTCTCTTGTGAATTTCTCTTGTGAATTCTGAAATATCCTTAGATTTCTCATTCTAATTCTAATTAGAATTCTCATTCTAATTTTTTAAAAAATACCTTGAATTTTTCCAAATTTTATAAGATTTTATCAGAAAAAATAAGATGCATACATACGCAAACTATTGTGAAAAAATATTTACTATTTATAGACGATGCATCCCATTTGATCATATCATGTTGTGATTGATTACAGTCGCTTACAGCTATGCCTAAAGTTTTTTCATTGTTCAAGTGTTGTGAGTTCAAGGCTGATGATCAATCGCAATAATCAAATGAGTGCCACTCATTCGTAGATTTTCTAAAATGATATTTTAATTTTATATTTACTTCAGGAGAAAGCTTGTTACTTTTTCTTTTTTTTAGATTGACAATAGAATAATTAGATGCAAGATAAACTTTTATATTAAATTTTATTATGTAAAGCTGTCAATATACTAGTAAAATTGTTTAATAATTAAAATAATAGATTAAATTTACCATTTTCTAACATTTCCAATTTTTTAAATAAAATTAGAGTAATAATATAGCTTTTAATAAAAGTATAGTATTTGATTTTAATTTCTGTTTTTTTTTTCAAATATTTTTTCATTTTTCTACATATCATTACTACAATGTTCCTGAAAAAATTAATTTAAGTATAATATATATATAAAAATAAATAAATAATGAACAACCAAGACTTGCAGCACGGAATGTTTAGACGAATAGAATATAAGTACTACTATAAGCGAGAAAAAAGACTGTTTAGCAGGCAAATAAGCCTGAGCTTTATAAGACAGCACATAATATTTATTAA